CATTATTTCACACGCTTAATTTCCAACCGTCTTCACCAAACACAAGAGTATGAGAAGTTACTGCTCACATGACAATTGCTCAAAGCTTCCAAAGCTGCAAACTCCTCAAAAAATTTGCAGAACGAAACAAAAAGCATAAAATATTTGATTCGACTGGGTGGAACCAGTTGCGCCAGCTGATTTACACATCTTCTCATCAATGCGCGAGACTCGGATAGATTCTCATAAACATCTGCTCTCACTATAAGCTTCACTTCTGGATTCAGAATTGGCTTGCAAACAAAATCCTTAAGATCTCAAAAGGCTGATTCAGGCAGATTAATCGGCACGCCGCATGGAAATCATATCAACATTTTTCAGCTAGATTGATGTTGCTGCTGTGAATATACTCGGAGAAGAGTATTTACTTTAGTTATACTTGGATAAATTTGGATTTATTTTATTACTTTCCAGAAGGAGAGCAAGCGTAAAGGTTGAGATGTCTTTGTTACGGAAACGCAGCAGAGTAACTTTTGCAAAATTCAATTTAATTTGAATTGAGCAAGTTCTCGGTTACAGCACATTTTATTAAACAATACTTTTCCTCTCCTCTCCTTTTAATAAATGCTTTGAACAAATAATTTGCAGTATTTATAGTGTTAATCTTATTTTTGTTAACTTACTTACCCCAAAGAGCCACGCACCACAATACAAACCATGCCGTATGACCGGGAAAAGAGCGAAGGTAAAATAACGAGACAAGACTGCAATTTGACAAGACGAAGAATTGATGAAGGAGTAACGGAGCACCATGATAAAAGAATGCCTAAAAGTAAAAATATATGAAAGCATCAAAACCAACAAAAGTGGCGAAAAGAATGACAGAGCACTTACTATACATCCAAAACCTCCGTATGCTGTTACAAGTGCGGGTAGCCACTCATATAATATTTTATCTTCACTTATATACAGACTCTTCAGTAAATCGCTAAAGAAGAATGCAAATCCAAGTTCTTGAGCGAGTATTATGAATTATGTACAATGTTCTTACTAGAAGAAACCTCCTGATACAGCAAATAAAATAAGCAGGCACGACATGTGCAGCCAAAGTTGCACAATTTTTCTGCAATCCCATAACGCTAGAAGCAGCATAGAGAATGACACAACAGCCAATACGATCATTGCACTGAAGGCGTTTATCTGAAAATTTACATCTAAGGAGGATTACATCAGTTTCTACAATAAGATTGCAACATTGCAATTAGAATGGAGAAGAGGAAGCCGTACTTAATTAATTAATATAATAGTCAAGTTAAAAGCGATTTCAATGGTATAGATCCACTCCAAATCT